AGGATTCTCCAGCTTTTCGCTGCACAAACAGTGAAGTTACAGTACAACCCAGTCCCTATCTGAGTTACCGACTACCCAAGGATTTTGTAGACCTCTCTACTGGTGAAGATGCTCACAAACTAATTGATTTCCTTAAACTGGTAAGAGCGGGGGTATGTGTCCATCACATCTTTTATCATGCTAGTCACATTTCTTTTCACATTGGCTTTTAAATATTTTAGTTGTGTGCTGCCTAGATTTTTATTACCATATATACTCAGATATAAGCCGACCCGAATATCATCCAGGGCACCTAATTTTACCTCAAAAACTGCATTAAAAATGGGCTGGAAAAAAATCGGCTTATACTTGAGTGTATACGGTATATGCTTCTGACCCAAAGGAACAGAACTAATGGATTAGATGATTTTATAATGAAATGTAGAATAGCATTTCTCTTAATTGATTGAATAAGGAGCCTGGTTGGTGTGGTGGGTTACACATTGGGCAGCTAACCACCAGGTCAGCCATTTGAAACCACCTGCCACTCCATGGAAGGAAGAGGAGGTTTCTACTCCTATACAGAGAGTTACGGGTGGGAAGCCCACTGGGGCAGTCCTGCCCTGTCCTCTGTGGAACAGGTCCCTCTGATTTGGAATTGACTCACTGGCAGTGAGTGTGAGTGAGAATGGATAGAAACTAGTTTTATGATGGGCCTGCTTCCTGAATCATTTTCATAATACTTCTGATTTTGAAGAAAGTAGATATGCTATTTTCGGACTATGAGAAGATCACATCTCTGCTATGGTGTGTCAGGAGGAGTGTGGATATTTGTGTGCACTCCCACATGTGCCCTTGTGTGGAAAGATGCATGCATGTATGGAAGCAAGAGAAGAAAACATGCAAATAACTGAGGATCATTTGCCCAGGAGCCAAAGTCATAAACAAGTTTAATGAATCACGCATGTGCTTCTGTGATCATTTTCAACCACATCTTTTGCCAAGACTTCTAGAAAATTGTACTTGCTGGCAGAAAATATGCTCTTGGCAGGGCAGCCCTGCCTGTTATGGAGTGCTCTTAACATGTTCTTGTTCCTTTGACAGAAAAGGAATCAGCAAGAGGATGACTGACTCCAGTTACAGACCAGCTTCAGGAGGAAACCATCCCAACTGCAGGAGGCTGTGCATAGGACGTCCTTCCTCTCAGCCCTGATCTGAGGGGGGTGGGGGTAGGCAGTGTGGAAACCAGCAGCTTTTTATATTCATGGGCATCCAGCTGGAGGAAAATGGAGGGACTTTGCTACTTGTAAACAAACATAATAAATAGATCATAACCATAGAAAACCACACTGTGCTGCTGAAGTCCTTTTTAGGAAACACTTATTCTTCGGGTGCAGTCTGTTAGAGATGTCTATATTTCTTAGTCCATATTTCGACGTTAAAAAAAAATAGAACCTTATATTACTACCAAAAATACTTTCTCTGCTTTTAGGATTTTCATATAATTTTCCTATCAGATTAGCTTCAGTTTGGACAGAGTTAAAAGAATAGACTTTCAGACGGGCTTTCAGATAGTCATGAAAATGTATGTATATGACCACCTCCTTACTGGATATTAGTAAGCCTATCACAGACTTAATTACAATTTGCCCTTTTGAAGAAACTGTTGGACACGTGGAAGGTAGGTGAGCGTTTGTTAAACCACCATTCTAGCCGTATC